TTCAGATGGACTTTTTGGCTATCCCTGCCATGAAAAATTCCTCCACATGGTGGTGGTAGCAAAGCTTTTTGTTTGCCGTTGCCTTGTGCTTGGTAGTCGTCGAGTTGATATTGCCTTCTCGTGTGTTCTTTTACCGGTGCTTGTCTGGCGTTGAATAGGTAAGGACTGAATTCGACTTACAGAATTTGTTTAGTGGTTGCTGTTGGAATTATTCTTTTGTTTTCTTACTTTGGAATACATTTTCCCGAAATTATCTCTTTTATACAATTTATATTGAGCGATGGCCTTCCTCCTTTTCCAAGTGTTCGAATTTCTCGCAGCCTGGTACGTATTATTTTATGTTATTAAGCCGTTTATGTCCATGGCACCACAATACTGATGGTTTAATGCATCTTTATTCATTAACTAACAGGTACTTTGAGATCCATATGAAAAAAGAACTTACATCGCCAAACGCGGCACGTTTCGATAAAAAGATGGAAAGCTCTCCTACATCCCAGGGACTTTGAAAGGATGTGGCCTGAGCTGCCGCGAGCAATTCAGATGGACTTTTTGGCTATCCCTGCCATGAAAAATTCCTCCACATGGTGGTGGTAGCAAAAGCTTTTTGTTTGCCGTTGCCTTGTGCTTGGTAGTCGTCGGGTTGTCAGATGTAACGAGAAGGACGCGGCACGTTTCGATAAAAAGATGGAAAGCTCTCCTGCATCCCAGGGACTTTGAAAGGATGTGGCCTGAGCTGCCGCGAGCAATTCAGATGGACTTTTTGGCTATCCCTGCCATGAAAAATTCCTCCACATGGTGGTGGTAGCAAAGCTTTTTGTTTGCCGTTGCCTTGTGCTTGGTAGTCGTCGAGTTGATATTGCCTTCTCGTGTGTTCTTTTACCGGTGCTTGTCTGGCGTTGAATAGGTAAGGACTGAATTCGACTTACAGAATTTGTTTTGTGGTTGCTGTTGGAATTATTCTTTTGTTTTCTTACTTTGGAATACATTTTCCCGAAATTATCTCTTTTATACAATTTATATTGAGCGATGGCCTTCCTCCTTTTCCAAGTGTTCGAATTTCTCGCAGCCTGGTACGTATTATTTTATGTTATTAAGCCGTTTATGTCCATGGCACCACAATACTGATGGTTTAATGCATCTTTATTCATTAACTAACAGGTACTTTGAGATTCATATGAAAAAAGAACTTACATCGCCAAACGCGGCACGTTTCGATAAAAAGATGGAAAGCTCTCCTGCATCCCAGGGACTTTGAAAGGATGTGGCCTGAGCTGCCGCGAGCAATTCAGATGGACTTTTTGGCTATCCCTGCCATGAAAAATTCCTCCACATGGTGGTGGTAGCAAAAGCTTTTTGTTTGCCGTTGCCTTGTGCTTGGTAGTCGTCGGGTTGTCAGATGTAACGAGAAGGACGCGGCACGTTTCGATAAAAAGATGGAAAGCTCTCCTGCATCCCAGGGACTTTGAAAGGATGTGGCCTGAGCTGCCGCGAGCAATTCAGATGGACTTTTTGGCTATCCCTGCCATGAAAAATTCCTCCACATGGTGGTGGTAGCAAAGCTTTTTGTTTGCCGTTGCCTTGTGCTTGGTAGTCGTCGAGTTGATATTGCCTTCTCGTGTGTTCTTTTACCGGTGCTTGTCTGGCGTTGAATAGGTAAGGACTGAATTCGACTTACAGAATTTGTTTTGTGGTTGCTGTTGGAATTATTCTTTTGTTTTCTTACTTTGGAATACATTTTCCCGAAATTATCTCTTTTATACAATTTATATTGAGCGATGGCCTTCCTCCTTTTCCAAGTGTTCGAATTTCTCGCAGCCTGGTACGTATTATTTTATGTTATTAAGCCGTTTATGTCCATGGCACCACAATACTGATGGTTTAATGCATCTTTATTCATTAACTAACAGGTACTTTGAGATTCATATGAAAAAAGAACTTACATCGCCAAACGCGGCACGTTTCGATAAAAAGATGGAAAGCTCTCCTGCATCCCAGGGACTTTGAAAGGATGTGGCCTGAGCTGCCGCGAGCAATTCAGATGGACTTTTTGGCTATCCCTGCCATGAAAAATTCCTCCACATGGTGGTGGTAGCAAAAGCTTTTTGTTTGCCGTTGCCTTGTGCTTGGTAGTCGTCGGGTTGTCAGATGTAACGAGAAGGACGCGGCACGTTTCGATAAAAAGATGGAAAGCTCTCCTGCATCCCAGGGACTTTGAAAGGATGTGGCCTGAGCTGCCGCGAGCAATTCAGATGGACTTTTTGGCTATCCCTGCCATGAAAAATTCCTCCACATGGTGGTGGTAGCAAAGCTTTTTGTTTGCCGTTGCCTTGTGCTTGGTAGTCGTCGAGTTGATATTGCCTTCTCGTGTGTTCTTTTACCGGTGCTTGTCTGGCGTTGAATAGGTAAGGACTGAATTCGACTTACAGAATTTGTTTTGTGGTTGCTGTTGGAATTATTCTTTTGTTTTCTTACTTTGGAATACATTTTCCCGAAATTATCTCTTTTATACAATTTATATTGAGCGATGGCCTTCCTCCTTTTCCAAGTGTTCGAATTTCTCGCAGCCTGGTACGTATTATTTTATGTTATTAAGCCGTTTATGTCCATGGCACCACAATACTGATGGTTTAATGCATCTTTATTCATTAACTAACAGGTACTTTGAGATTCATATGAAAAAAGAACTTACATCGCCAAACGCGGCACGTTTCGATAAAAAGATGGAAAGCTCTCCTGCATCCCAGGGACTTTGAAAGGATGTGGCCTGAGCTGCCGCGAGCAATTCAGATGGACTTTTTGGCTATCCCTGCCATGAAAAATTCCTCCACATGGTGGTGGTAGCAAAAGCTTTTTGTTTGCCGTTGCCTTGTGCTTGGTAGTCGTCGGGCTGTCAGATGTAACGAGAAGGACGCGGCACGTTTCGATAAAAAGATGGAAAGCTCTCCTGCATCCCAGGGACTTTGAAAGGATGTGGCCTGAGCTGCCGCGAGCAATTCAGATGGACTTTTTGGCTATCCCTGCCATGAAAAATTCCTCCACATGGTGGTGGTAGCAAAGCTTTTTGTTTGCCGTTGCCTTGTGCTTGGTAGTCGTCGAGTTGATATTGCCTTCTCGTGTGTTCTTTTACCGGTGCTTGTCTGGCGTTGAATAGGTAAGGACTGAATTCGACTTACAGAATTTGTTTTGTGGTTGCATTTTATTAACGACGGGGGGAAATGGAAATAATGATTTTGTTTGCAGTAAATATTGGCCTCTGGTAAAAAATATAACATTTGCATCAACTTTCCGACACTTAATATTTGATAATCGATGTAGTAAGGTAATAAAGATATATAGCGTTAATAATTCTATTGTATTCTAACCCAAAAATAATAGAGCAGGGAGTTAACATAACCCATGACAATATTTTATCCGATAAAGAAAAATTACACTGGGCTCCCAATTCTTGTTACAGACGAAAGACTATGTGATGAAGCGTAGGCATGCACACAAGAGTGAATAGAAAGACATATTAATGACATTATTTAACCTGTTCGTCCATCCCATCCATATTATATACAGCCATTGCATTTGTACCGCCCTTTTTTTTTCTCTTGTAAAATTAATGTATACTTGTTTATAACACTTAAAAACAATCTAGATGATGAGTGAAAGGATATTAAATGTTTCCGGATCACTTCAACAGAAAACAATTGAATTGAATTGATGTTTTATACAAGAAATTGGTTGAAGCATCTTGCCCTTTTACTAGATGTCGAGCTTATAAATATAGGCGAAACTGAAGAATAGAGTTTATGTTTGCCTGAAGAGTCGTATTTGGCTACTTTACGATAGTAATTGAAACAAGGTCTCACTGATAACATGGATTAGATGCACTTAGTAAATTTGCGAACATAGTTCGTTTCCTTGTAGGAAAAAAATTGGTGAGTATAAATAAATCTATGTAGCATCTTGGAATTAGATCGAATAGCCTGGCACGTTGCACGCCCCATGATCCCAGTAAAGATCAAGTGGATAGTTTTGAAGATGATCCGTGGTTTTGGCCTGGCAGATATGCGGAGCACATTAGTGTATGAATGAAAAAAACCCGCATAGTACACGAAGAAAACAAGCTGTGTCTGCATGAATACACTCAAGATAATTTATTGTCCATAGTAACGAAAACTGAAGTAGAAAAACATTGGCTGCTGTTCTTTGAGCTTTTTTTAACTCGATATATGTTTAATATATCTGACGAAATATATAAAGAATCTGTTCCCAGTCTATGACCTAAGGTATCCATACAAAACACTTTTCGGAGATCGCGTCCATTCTTGACGAAACCAGCATCGTGGTGTTAGATTACCTAAAATACAGAAACGCATCTCGTTAGTAAATCATAATAGACAATGTTTTCAAACAACTGTACACACACACACTTTCTCCCTATCTCTCTGTTACAGTAATCATCTGCTAGTAATTTCGACTTTGTAGATCCTGAGCAACAATTTTGTAGTTATCCGGCGTTGTCTTTTTCTTTCTGTTTTGCTTCTAAAAGTTCCTACCTACTCAGCAGTAACTACCCCATGTTCTCCTCTATGTTTATCAGCTTTATTGCCACTAGTATCATGGCATGATGAAAAAAAACGAGTACCAATGATTCCACCTTTTTTTTTGCAACAGCATCTTTGTTCTTCACATATTTCACCAGAAGGCCCTTCAAGGAGTCCTTACACTGTATTAACTTATCCACAGTGCCGTTTTTATTATTATTTTTTACCATATATAATAATCCACGACAAGGATTTGCATAAAACCGACCTGTATTGTGCTTTGTCTATGTCCATGCAAACTTATTTTGCCTTTGGGTGATTTTCACCATTGTTGGGTTCACATGTTAATACCCACGCATTGTAAATAACTGGTTCTCTCACTTCAATATAAAGATCTATGTAAATATTGCAAAAGAAAAAAATTATAGAAGAATCATCAATATCACATGATTTATTTATTTTTGGCTCCGGTCTGTAACCCAAGCTAATTCCCCCAGATAACTCATTATAAGAATTTTTTTTTTGCGACATTACTTTTTAAAAAACCTGTTTTAAAATATTCAAATGTCTGCTATATCCAAATACAAAGGAAAAGTGTTTGACACTTTAGAATCTTCATTACCAAGACGCTCCATTTTTGTGAACAAGCCTATTGAGGAATGGTCTTTCAAAAATTATGTAAAGCACCATCCACGAGCTGACCCAGCTACTATTTTGGCAAATATGAAAAAAGATCTTGACTGGTTAGCATTATGTGACCTTCCCATGGACGTCAAGCGTCATGTAGGAACACTAATTAAAGAATCAACGGTAATTTTCATTTCCCATTGAGAGTAAACCGATTGATACTAACTTTGGATAATAAAAATTAGAAAATATTCATTGACGATGTAAAGAAGTGGTTACAGTCAAACTCCAGCAGTTCTAGTACCAGTATCACGTTAAGTGGTCCTGTTGATATATTCACTGGAAACAGCCACAATATTATTCATAAATATAAAACAAGGTAATAAAATAATAGTTTCGCGAAGTATTCATCTTTTAACTTATATTTTATTTTATATAGCTCAAAAAGAGTGGCAAGTAGTAGTAAGAAGAGTAACAAGAAAGCACGTTTCAAAGAAGAAAAACCAAAGGATCGGTCTATTAATAATGATAATAATGATGATCGTGGAGCGGTCAGTATACGCAGCACTCTTTTTTTTTCTCGTATGTAGTTCTAATATGATATTGTTTTATTTATTAGGATAGTAGCAGTGATGATGATTCTCTATTCAACGATCAAGAGGAAGAGCGAGAAAACATAAATGAAACTGAAGAGCATGGTGGATCTGTGGTTGGTTTTTTCAACGTTTGCTTTTATTATTGTCATGATTTTTATTGACAAGTACGTATATTAGGTTGGCTCCAAAACGAAAGATTTTTTTGATATTGACAATGACACGTTGACAACGACTACTCCACAACAGCTCGATGTCACCGAAATTATTCCGAGCACAGCTTCATCATCATCAACATCAATTACAAGATCAGCACTCTTTCAATGGGCATATACCTTGGTAAGTTTTGTTTTTCTTGTTGATTTTAATTTTGCTCTTTTTTTTGTATAACTTCTAATATTCACTTTTAAACTATCGTTAATAGTATCTCAAGAAATCGGTTACTATGTCTACAACGGTATTAGGTATCATTCGAGAACAAAGAGCGGTGTCTGTTTCCGATGCGTTAACGAAAATGGCTGCCAATCTATTGGAGGACTGGACAACAAGTGATGTAGATGATGCATATCGATTCACATTAAGGTAATACTTTTTGTTTTGGTCAATTGTAAATATAGCAGCTAGCACCCATTCTAAAACATAAATTATTATTGAATAGTTTGTCATTGTCGTTGATTGTTGATGTCGCAAATAATAATACAAGCAAAAAAATGTTAAAAGCATTGGAGCCATCTCATGTCCATGAAGTCAAGGAGCACAGCAAAAGCCAAAGTAACACCATAAAAGAATTGCCCGCTTTTTTATCATTGATATTTAAGGAAACGATTGAAGTATGTGTATTATTCATGGGGGATCGGTTCAAATGATGTATGCGATCAACAAACCAACCTTTTTTATTATTCAATTTGTAGTTGTTGGAGTTGGAAGGAGAACACCCAGCTTTAAGATACTTATCCAATGCCGCTTCTAAACAATTGGAAACAGAAAAAGATAACATCAATCTTCAAGTCATTGATATTCTCACTTATGTGTATGTTGGAGGAATTATTATGCCATGTATCTGTGCTACTTTTTATCTCATTTATTGACTGCTTTTATCATTTATGTTTGTAATATAGTATTCGAAACGTGAAAAAATGGGGAAATGAAAAAGGAGCAACTGAAGTAGACTGGACCCACCGCTTAGTTTCATTGTTAGATATTTTGTTACGGGATACGGATTTGTCAGTTAGAATGTAAGTGTTAAATAGAAAGGATGGGCGGATGGCAAAGGCTACTATAGTGACTGAAGCAAATATGTTTTTTTATCAAGGGGAGAAAAATGTAGCATGGCCACAAAAGTTGTACGACAAGCAAATGAACATGCATTTGGTGATAAAGAAAAAATATCCAGTATTGTTGGAAGAAAAATTGATGTAATCATGGAACACGACGAATTTGAACTCTCAGCATCGGAATGGAAATCTGCCGGAGCTGGAGACAGTTTAGTTGACAAACAGCATAACAAGAATCTTCGAGTCAATGCATGTGTGCTATTACAAATATTACGATTACCTTTTGATGGATTCAATAATGATATCAGTATCTTATCTATGGAGTGGACAGGTAATCACTTGTATATTTTTTTTTTGCTATAAAAAAAAGTGTTGGCTCCTCAATATCTTTTTTTTTCTTTTAGGGGCTGAAGGAAAATTGGTTTCGATGAAGAGATATAATAATTATTTTGTTGGCACAACCATTGGTGACATGTACTTACCCTTGACATTGGACGATATTAGTGATTTCCATAAAACACTCACTTTATTATTGCATTGGAAGGTTAGTGGCATTTTATATACTGTGACATCTGCTTGAAGGGGTGACAAATACTAATATGCTGTAAACTTAGAATGAACATCTTAAGTTACGAAAAGTAGTCCGTGGCCCTCTACTTAGACAAAGAAGATTTGAACGATCACGATCCAATTATACCTCATCTATAGCCACTTCAGCAAATACAAACCCTGATATATTTTTCACTCCAACCCAAGATAGATCATCCAATTGATTTCGTCTTTGTCAATATTCCCCCACTTCTTTAACACTGTTGTTAGTATTTACCCGTTTTCTCTCTCTTCGTGCTGTTCCATATTGTATCAACCAGAAATTATCTCAACAATTATATACCTTGTATCATGATTAATACAAACCTTTTTTATTTGAGTATGTACATATCAATTTGTTTCAAAACATATAGAATAACGATACACAAAAGGTGTCTTATCCTCTCATCTATTTCTCTGTCTTTCTCGTTATTATTATTAATATTATTATTATTATTGAACGCCGCGCCATGAATAATTTCTTCTCTTTTCTAAAGTTTCAGGAACCTAAAACAGCAGTATTGTTCACATATTATAATAGAAAGATTATTGGCACCAACAAAACTACAAATAAACAAGTATGTCCCCTTCCGTCATATAACGAATAATTTTAACCAACAAGCTATGGAACAAAAAAAAAATCCACCTCACTTCACAGGCTCAATTCATTTTCATGGGAACCTTTGACACATCACCCTATATGCATAACCTGTACTATTCAAACTCTTTTTTTCCAAATTGTTACTTTGAAGAAGATCTTGTAGATGATTGTACCAGGATATTTTCGGTTCAATTGTTTTTTTGACTTGCTCTCATCCAATTTTGATTAATATACAACCTTTTTTCCTCTCTTTTCTTCCATTTTCATATCATTTGTTGTTGTTTTGCTGATCACACGCTAAACTATAGTTTTTTATATCATACTATACTATCAAACTAATTAAAATGCACACAGGTAGACCATTCGTGGTATAAAACAGAGATGAGATATTATATTGTGTGCAATTTGTTATTATTTGGTTTGCTATGTGTAATGCCAAATTGAAAATATGGCTTGCGCCAAAATGAAAAAAAAAACCAAGTGCCAAGTAAAAAACCACTGTCAGCCATTCTAATTTTTTCATGCGCCAAGTTATATTCCCCATCTGCCAAATGGAAATTCGTGTCACGCCAAATTGAAAAGCAAGATGCACCAAACATTAGTGAAAATCCTGTACGTATTTTTTCCTTTCTTTACAATGTTTGTTGTGACCGGTAGATGAAAATTCCTCACTACAGATATGGCCACCGAGCTGATTTCCATCAAGCTCGCCCCCAAGTTTAAGGACCTTCCCCCCCCGCGTCACCATCTCCAGTAGTGGTGGTTCCCGCAAGTGCCGGACGTTGCCCCTTGATGGTTGCTTCAAGTGCCGCCAGCAAGGCCACTCCCACGAGGCGTGCCCCACCACTGCGCTCAAGCGCTCTATTGAGGAACTCGATGACCGGATGTCCGAAGTCAGCCTAGCTGACCAGCCCGCGTCGTCCTCCTACCGCCGTGCCTCCGCCTCTTCGGAATCCGATTCCGATGGCCTCGCCGCCCTGGTCCGCGACCAAGAGTGGGCACAGCAAGCCCGGGCACAGCTCCGCTCGCCCTCTGGTTCTTCCTCGCCACTGCCCCCCAAGCAGGCAACTAGGTCGGACCGCTCCGTCCCAAAGGGCCAAGCAATCAAAGCAGCACCAGCAACCAAGTTCTGGTGGCTGCAGCAAGGGCAAGGACCCGGACCGTGGCGCTCGTTGCGACCCTCCTCGTCCTCCCCCAACCCCCTCTACATAATCTGTAGTTGTCTCTCTGTTGTCTTTCTTCCTTGTATTTTTTTTAAATATATGAATTTACACAACACAATGATTTCTTTCCTCAATGTACGCGGTCTTTCTCATCATGCTAGTCGACCGGACTGAGAGATCAAATGCTGCGCCATGTGCCAACCGCATGAAAGATGAATCGATTTCGGAAAGATAGTATCGATGGCAGTGATGAGCGCCTTCTCCTTATCAGTATTGAAGATACCGACATCACCTTCGGGCCAAATAGTATCACGCATGGTTTTCGTAACCCATAGATACGAATCGGTTTTTCCATTGACGACGACTGTTGATGCGATTAATATATTGTGTAGCGACGTCGTACCAAGGTTACTGATCCCAACAACGTTGATTAGCGGCATCTTGCTGTTGTTCGTTCCATACGTCGCATCGAGACTGATGACTTCTTTAAATCGCCTTGCTTTTTCCAAGCCAACTTGATGCGTAACGAACAGTGCTTCCAATGTTTCCATTTTACTATCTATGCGATATCTTACGATATATTGATTGCTGACCAAGAAGCTGAATAGTTTTCTGAATGCACCAGATTTGTCGTCCTCGAATATTTTTTGTAAATATCCTTGATCGTCACGATTGTGCCTTCGTCGTTGTTTTGTAATTCTTGACAAATCTTGGCTGGTTTGATAGAAGTCTCTGTCATTGACAAGATGCGACGGGCAATATCAGCTGTTGGCTTTCGATGTTGATGGTAAGATGCTGTTCGTTACTGTCAAATAAATGATTGTGGCTGTCGGCGCTGCTGACACGTTTAATCACCCATTTTTTGATTTTCTGCATGTATGAGCCAAAGAGCTCCCAAGCACAACCGGTTTTCTGTGTCGATACCAGTCTTACGTTCATCATCGTCGATGTCATGACAGTTCCTGTAGACACCCCCATGGACACAGTGAATGTACTGTAGATATTTCGACTGTTGCTGCGCTTGATGGATGTTGTAAACTGAATCTTTAGGGCCATCTCTTGAACCTTGCTCGGAACTGTTTTTTCGAATCATATTTGGTGCCAATAAGATCAACCATGGTATCTGTTCTTGTAGCGTTCAATTTGATAGAAAAGGGGATTTATCCTTTTTCTTTATAAACTTGTCAACTTATATAATAGACACTTCGTAGCTTTATCAGTCATGGTAGTAGTAAACCATTTCATAAGCTCAACGCCTACGACGCCATCATGGCAATTGCAACACTCCAAATACTCCTCTTCCTTTTATAGTCCTTTGTTAGTATATTTATAGAGCAACTGTTTATTTTTGTGTGACTGTTTGGTTTATTTGAGGTAAAATGGAGTGTCGAGTCACTTTTTTGGAGTGTCCCTAGTAATACCCTATACGAAAAGCAACGCCGGATGACATTTATCTTACACAAAGCCTCGTCACTTTGGTGAACCGAACATTTCGAAGCGATAGCTGTAAGTGCAGTTTACATCGAGTCTAGTAAAACCTTTTCATATGATATCATAAACCCCCATGATGCTCCGTATAACCAACGAACATCATTGAGAACAGCTTGCGATTATGCCTAAGGTTAATAAGTAGAAAATCACGACACGTTTTCTACTGTATCTTCTGTTCACCCTTTAACTCGCGTTCTTAAGCTAGCTATAACCAGTCCCTTGTGTCAATGACCAAGATATGAAATATGCCGCAGGTATATTCTTTTCTTTGTATTTAACGAAATCTCATTTATATTTACGTATGCTTTTTTTTAGATAAATCATAAAGTTCAAAGTACCGTTTCCAGACGCCTTATAAATGCTATAATTCTGCCAACTGTTAACTTTCAGCTCTGTCAACTACAAAAAACTCTCCTGTTGTATGTACTCCACCAACGCACTATGTACGGTTTAACGCGTAATAGAAATACAGTCGACCCCCGTTAACATCAACCCTCAGGGTACCAGCAAAAGTGTTGACCATTTCGAGGGTTGACGACCACCGGGGATAGAGAATAGGCAAAATTTTTAACTGCTTTATTTAAAAGGGTACGAGCGAATCGGTTGACGCTTTTGGGGGTTGACGTTAACGGGGGTTGACTGTACTATATATAAGAGTAGCAATGTAGCACTTTTATATAGAAATGTATGTACTGTAGCCGAATACTTCTGCGTTAACACCATCGGTAATAACTAGCAAGCACAAAAATAATGGACTGACGACATGTATGTTTTCTTTGTTGGAGATTAAACTACCCATGCAAAGGTAGTAATAAGATAAATAATTTATTTGTATTATAAGTACAAGGTATTTTCTTTTTTTAATTCGTACAGAAAAATGCAAGGATGTGTAAAATATGTTTACATGCAGAGTTGATGATGTGAATATTAAGATGAAAGGGGAAATATATAAATACGCGTGACACTGCAGATCAAGCGAACATGACAGCGATGACCAAGAAAGAAAGGGGGTAATCTATATGGTATTTTTACTCACGCTCATCCTTCTGTTCGTATCCGGAATAGTGACGCAGTCGTGCACCGTAAATTTTAAGAAGGATCAAACAACCCATAGAAACGTAGGTTAAAGCAGCCAAAAACACACATGTCCATCCAGGGCCGATTGCTTTGACCATGGGGTTGGCACATAACGTCTATAACATTTTTGTACCGGTGAGTTACAGTTTCCCGCGCATCCATTGCACACACTACTATAATTTTTTCTACTAACCAGGACGCATGCAAACAACATTCTGACCAAGTTTGCAGCAGCAGTAAACGAGGCACCAATGCCCGGAGCAGAGTCCACGAGGTAAGCACTCAGTGCAGTCATCATCTGATTCATGCCAAAGTTCTGGATACCGAAACCAATGATACCCGTCCAGTAACTCATTCCGGTGCCAATGCCCCAACCAAACAACAAGAGACCGAATGGCATCAGGATCAAACCAGAAGGCCAGAGGTTGATGGCGATACGGTCCTCGACCATGGCACGGCCTCCGCGCTTTGCACGTGCATGCATCAACAAACGATCTGATAAGAAAGTGTTGACAAAGGCACCGCACAGGTTACCCACACCAGCACCAAGGTAACTGAGACCTATCGAGCGGGTTGTAAATCAGAGCAAAAGTTCGCCAGTCCCTGTCAAATCTACCCGTTTTAGAAAAATATTCTTTACCTGTTTGCCATGGAACAAATCCATAATTGTTCTCGAAAAGATCAGGGATGATTGTTTCAACACAGAACATGGCACCGAATGAGACGCCCATGACCAGGGAAGCGAGCAATACGTGAGGATGACGCAGGTATAAGAAGGGTCGGATCGGATTCAAAGGCTTTTTCTTTTTCGCAACCGCGTCATTATGAGGAATAGCGGCTATTGTCCCACTTGTCTTTGAATTTGTTGATGGAGTGGCGGGACTTGAGATCTGCGTGCTCGCGGAGTCTTGGTCGCCACCACCCTCATCCTCCTCCACGGATTGCTCTTGCTGCTTTTCATTCTCTTTGACAGTCGTTGGCAAGGCAACGTCCCACTTGTCGTTCTCGCGATAGGTCTCCGGGTAGATGAAAATGATCATTAAAATCACCATGAATGCAAATGCGAAACAGAACCAAAAGGTTGCACGCCAGTTCAAGTCGCTCATGATCAAGAACCCACCCAAAATAGGACCTAGAAAAAAAAAGAGTTGAGTGATCTGAAACATGCTAGATGGATTTGTCCTTCCCCCCCCCGCCCGGCCGCCCTTTTCTTCGGTATTCCTCCTTACCGATCAATGGACCGAAGAAAACACCGAAAAAGTATTTGCCAAAAGCTGCGCCACGTTGTTCGATTGGATAACAGTCAGCAATCACACCAGCACCGACAGATTGGCCACAGGAAGCACCCAGTGCTTGAACGCACCGCAGAACGACAAGGCCCCAAATGTTATTGACGAGTGCTGCTCCCAGAGAAGCAAGGCCAAAAATGGCCATGGATACAATAAACAGAAATCGCCGAATGCGGTAATAATCAGATATGGCAGCCCAAAAGACTGGCGCCAATCCCATAAACAAAATGAACAGCGCAGCTGTCAAAGTCGTCGCGATGGAAGGAGCATCCAGATCGACAGTGATATCAGGAATACCTAATACGATCGTTTTTTTTTTTGATTCGGTGAATGAATACAACCATCCACACATCACCGTTATTATTATTTTTTACCAGGGAAATAGATTGTGCTGGAAAATCCAGAGCTTGCCGCACACATGGCAAGAATGACGAGGACGATGGCCTTGACTCGACTCGACAATAGACGGGGATCCTCATCCACCGGGGGACGGATGGATAGCCGGGATATTAAAACATGCTTCAACCGAGAATGATATGCCATCTCAATTTTTCACGGCAAGAGAATGGAGGATGGGGGAGTAAGAAGGGTCGGTTAATAAGGGTGGGAAAGCAAGGTGGGGAAGAGTCTCTCGGTGTGTGCGAGCACAAGTGTGTCTGCGCTCCCCTTTATATAGGATGTACACAGGCAGCGGTGTTCCAAAGCTCTCTATTTTCTTGGGTAAAATAACAGTAGTGGGATCAGAAACATGTGCAACCATTCTTCTGTGTGTTAGTCTGTGTTGTGGAAGAACTCCTCCTCGGCGTTGGACGGACAGCTCCCCGCTCTGACTTACGCGAGGTGTATATTTTTTTTACTATCAGGAAGAGGGCAGCAGCCCTCTGATAAGGAACTTTTACCCTTTTAACAATTGTGCGTTTTTTTAAGAAGCATCCTTTCGCTCTTAATCTCGGTCCGATACGAAACAATCACGGGTGGGGGATGATGATAGTATGCAGGTGCATCGGTGCTTTGCGTACCATCTTTAGATTTCATATAATAAAGTAGTAACGATGCATTGCTGTCAGAAGACATCGTGTCGATGAATGGGGTGCATTTCACTTGAAGCGTGTTGTATTACTCTGCCACCCGGAAAACAAACAATAGGCATCTTTAAACATGATATTGGTTGTTGTTGTTGTTGGACCGAGTGATACTGGATTTTTTTTCTCACGCATTACAGTTGGTGTCACTGATGACGCCGTTGTTCGCCACGAAGTTGGCGGTTACTGTGAAAGAGAGAGAGAGAGAGAGAGAGAGAGAGAGAGAGAGAGAGAGAGACTAATCGCCATGACCCACAATGACGATTCTTTATAAAGATCATTATAAACCTACAATGACAACGACATGGTCACTAGGGATAGCTATTGCTTTCTTCTTTTGCCTTGGTAACTTATTGTCTGCAGTTGTTGACTCGTTGTCACGAAAATGTTCAAAAAATGTATATCTCAGCTTTTTATGACCGTATTTAATCAAAAGAGCAAGACTCGCTCTCTCAGACGTGTCAATGCGCAAAAACATAAGCATGATCCAAGCATGGAGAGCGCCCGTTCTGAGATCGTTTGTTTTATATCAGCTGCAATTTTACCCAGAACAAAAAAGGGTTATGCACTATCAGCCACGGAAGGTATGTGTCCGAGCAGCACCATTGTTGCAAGATGATGATGCATTCACAGCAACTCTCTCCTATCTTTTTTATAATTTGGCGGGAATTCTTCCCGCTGACTGCTATCATCAGAGATTCCATATGCTCCCCACAGCTCTCCTCCCAATGCCCCGCCTTTTCTATAATCGGAAACGTCTCGAAGCAATTGACGCATGCAGTAATCAAGTTTTGACAGAACACACACCGGAGACCCGCCTTTCTTGGTTTTTTAATTTTTTGATTGTATGTAATTGCGTTGCGTTGCGTGTATATATGTTGATGGGGTGGGGGGTGGGGGAGAAAGAATAGAAAAACAGATCTAAGCGTTGGTGTAGCATCTCATGGGGAATGCAGCTATAGAAAGAAAGAGTATATATGTTAATGTATCGTTTCTCCTTTTTTCCTAAGCAGCATCATGCTCTAAAAAACAAACAAACTTACGATCTCCAGGGTGCACGAAATCTGACGATTCCACCCACTTCACCTCATGACCCCAGTTGGGGGTGGGAGCCAAGTTTTGCTTGCTGTACAACTTCTTGCTGTTCAAGACCTGAACAAGCGGCTTTTCCTCGGTCACCTTGGCAGGAGTGATGGGTTGGTCATCAGAACCAGCGGGAGGAAGGCTTGAAACAGTTGATGTTAGATGTCCTGTCCGTTTCGTTGCTAGCACATATCTCTAAGATGATTTTTACCTAGCTTGGACCGAAGCACCTTCAAGAAGACCAGCGACCTTGGATTGAGTGTACACAGCCAAACGAGGATAGTTTCGACGAACATCACGTTGGAAATAGTAGTTGTTGTTCACGTTGGATGCATGTGTAGTGGGATACTTGTACTTTTCTGTTCGGGAACTAATAAAAAAACATAAACGTTGATTTTGTTGTTTCGCGTTCAATGTAGGTAGTCATAAGTTTGGTGTTCTTTCTTCTTCCGTCTCAAATATATATTGCAAGGTATCTAATTCGCGATCGTCGCGTCTTATACTCGTAGTAACTGTTGGGAACGTTGTTGCTTACCCGACAGCAGGTGTACGGAATTTGCCCACAGCGGGCATACCGTCAGTCGACAATGGGTTCTAAATTGTAAAAAAGCAAATCAATTATTTGAATCGTGTTGATGCATTGAATACACGCTATACTATGTATATGTGTTTATGTATAATTCCAAGTAAACAAAAAATGAGACGTTACCACCGAGAAATATTTCTTCACCCAAGCCCAGGTCTTTGAATTCCACGACATAATTATAAATGTAGACTAGTAAACAAAGATAATTGAGAGTGAGTTTTTACAACTAGTTTATACATAATCAGGAGGATGCCATGGGCACACTATATATATACCTTTTGGTCTTTGTTCGTTCCACCGCAGTGTGCTGAAAGCCGGGTTGTCGATTAAAAAACAATCAACGTCACAACCTGGGCTGCGTTTGCGGATATTTTGGAATTGGCCAATGAGAAGCTCGCACAGAAATAGCGATGGTTAGTTAAAAGAGAAATAAATAAATTGATTTTATTTTATATGACTATGTGTTGTAGAGCAACGGGAAATATATAGCAGTGAATGCCACAACGAGTTAAAGCGACTAAAATATGGAGATGATATATTACTGTTAAGTCCCTCAGTGCAAGTTGCTACGTAGGTCCTGGGATCTTTGCTTGTTTGGCTTCCATCTCTCATATACGCCTCTCCTTTGTAAATAACTGTTCGCTAGATAGCATCGCAAATTATGCTACTACGATTACTGCCCCTCAGGTGTTGTGTCACTTAGCTCAAAGTCCACGATACTAAAGTGATAGAGATCATTCTTTGTACACCGGTGGTCCGAGAAAGGGTTTGATATGGATTTTGTAAGGCGAGGTTTACATTAGGGAAAATGATATAATGGCAAGCATTTGTCTAGTTACTAACAAACTAGTAGCTTGTGTCATCCTTATTTCCAAAAATTATATCGAAAGCAAGGGGATTTCCACGACCTGGCGCATCTGAGCTTCGGTGGAAGAAGCGAGGGGTAGCCAGTACAGCGACCTATTGTTCATGGATAGCCAATGTTTTACGTTTGAGCGGTTCCTTTTTACTCGTGCGCATTCATATATCTGCTGCCATTAGATTACAGCCAAAACCGTCGTCACCAACACAAATGGTTTCTTGAGCTAAACCGCGTGGAGCTACACTTTTTTTTGGCACTTTTCAAGATTTGGTGATGGTTGCAGTGATCCTTGGACGACCCAAACCGATCCCATCCGTATGATAGCAAGTAGTGTTTTGACTCGCCGAGTATAAAGGTTTCCTCATTTAATTACAATAAGCCTCTCACACAAAATTTACACTTCAAGGATATAAGTGAGTAATGTTTGGAGGACGGCCATCTAAATTGTGCAACACGAGTCCCACACAATCGTCTCGTTTGCCTTGAGAAGCTTTTTTGTATTCAATTGTTTTGATGACGGGGCCGTGTTTGTATTCTAGGTCGTATTGACCTCTTCCGTTCTTTTGCGTTACTATCTATGGATATCCGTTATTATCCTACGCTATCCTCTTAGCTCCGTCCATTCGTCTGGGTTGTTTGGTCGTTGATACTCTTGTGCCTCCAACAATCATATCCATTTCCCCGCGAGGTTCAGTGCCGTCCTTCGGACCCGTTGACAACATAAAGCAGTGCCATGGAATACACGCATATTCACAAAGTGCTGCGTTGTGCGGGACATGAAAAAATTCATCGCTATGATAGGGTGTGCGTGGGTAGAGGCGCGAGGCGTGTAATCCTGGTGCCTGCTGCTTTTGCCATCTCTCTGTCTGTCTCTCTCCTCCTCCTTTCTTTTTTTTTTTTCCTTTAAACAAAAACCACTCACCTTTCATTTTCGCCACACCCCATTTTTTTTCTGGCCACATAAAAAGAAAACACACCCATTTCTTTTTTTTTAACATTACATCGACTACAACCCTATAACCTTTTTTAATGGATTCTGGAGGTGGAGAAGACTTTGAAAAACTGCCAGTAACTGACAGATTACAACACACGGTACAAACTGGATCTTTATTTTTACAAAGAAGCTAGTTTTTAATGGTTTATGCATTGACTTTTTTTTCAACTCACTATCCGTTAAATGTAGCTTTGGAAAGCGCGTGTGTCAGCGTATGAAGAGTTAACATCCCTGTTTCGAAAAACGGACAACGATTCCGACTTTTACACGTACGAAAGCTATTTAAAGAAAATCGCCACAGATGCCAATGCCGTTGCGCAAGAAGCAGGGCTCACCACGATAACCGAATATGTAAATAATGCACCCAACGCTTCAAGGTAAAATGACATAGAAAGGGGGTGCGGCTTCTTGATATACATTTATTTTTTTATGTTTGCTGCGGTTGCTTGGGGTTAGAATTAATACTGGTAGTCGGAGAGGGGCCATAGGAAACATAGATAGGGTGTGTGTGCAAAGAAAGCAGGAGGGATAGAGAGAGAGAGAGAGAAAGCCAAAGGAAGGAAGGAAGGAGATTCGTTTACTCTAACATACACCACTTTTGCCGTTATATGCTGTCTTTTTTTTCCAGCACCCGTGAAACGGTTGTACCTGCCCTTGTCGAAAAGTGCCTCGGTGCTACAAAAGCTGGCACGAAGCAAAAAGCAACCGAACTCCTTTTATTATATGCAGAGATCGATGTTGCTGATCCAGTGGTGGTAAGTGTTTCTTGGGGGGGGTGCTGCAACATGGCTTATTTTGCTTATCGCCATGTCTTTGTTGATTGTTCGATCTCTTTCTATTTCTTTCTCTCTGCAACACAGGAACTCGTCATACCTGGCATAAAAGCTAAACAACCCAAACTGGTGACTCAAACAGTCATCGTCTTGAAGGAGTTTGTAAAGTAAATCAGTAGTAGTAGTAGTAGTAGTAATCTCTAATGAGTCGTCGCATGGATATGATCCATGGATAAACCAAAAAAAAAAAAAAAACTAACCAAAGGATACATTATCAGACAATACGGTATCAAGACAGTCGGCCCTAAACCAATCCTTAAAATCATACCCAAGTTATTCGGACACACGGATAAGAATGTGCGAGCGGAGGTAAGATGCATACACATATGCCTGCTGCAAGGCCCCAGCAGATTTATATATACTGGTAGTAAGCGGGAGTCAGGAGCTACTTGGCAGCTAACAACAACAACAACAACGACACTTCTTTGTTATTTAGACTTTTGCATTAACGGTCGAACTTTATCGATGGCTGGGTCCAGCAACAAATCAATACCTTTCCGATCTTAAACCAGTTCAACAAAAGGATTTGGAAGAAGCATTTTCAAAATTGCCACAAGAAAAGCCTAAACCCGAGCGATTATTGCGATCGGAACAAGCTGCCGCTGCCGAAGCCGCTGCTGCTGAAGTTGAAATGGGTAAAAAAATAGTTGGAAATTCAGTACTTTAACTCTTATTAACACGATTTCTATATGTTCGAAACTAGGCGATGCACAAGATAATGACGAAGATGGTGGCGGCGGCGAGGCAATGGAGGAAGAAGTGATTGATCCATATGATTTAGCGGATCCAGTCGATATTACAAGCAAATTGCCACCCAACTTTTTTGAATTACTAGTGAGATATCTCAGTCTCTGTGTGTACTGTGTGTGTGTGTGTGTGTGTGTACTGGAGGGGAAAACAGAATGTGCTAAACGATGGGGATGGCCATCCCCCTTGTGTCAAATGTTCATGTGGTTATTATAGGCTTCCAAAAAGTGGCAGGAACGAAGAGAGGCATTAGACGCTTTGCTTAAAGTGGTAGAAACTCCAAGACTCGCAGATAAGGATTATACAGAATTAATGGGTGCATTGGCAAAGGTATAACTGACACATCGAAAGGCTTTGATTGATATTGACTCACCACTAACCCACCATTTGTGTGCCACAGCGTATTAGCGACACAAATATTCTACTGGTGGGAACGGCAGCAAATTGTATCGAGAAAATTGCATCTGGTCTTCGTCAGGATTTTGGCAAATATAAAGGAGTGGTACGTTTCTTTTTTTCTCTCTCCAGCTTATACCGAGAAACCAACGAAATAACCATGCTCACTCTGTGGTGTGTGTGTGTGGGGGGGGAATACAACAGGTTGCTCTACCAATGATCGAGAAACTCAAAGAACGCAAACCAGCGATTCTCGAACATCTTCAAAACGGCCTCAATGCAGTACTAGCATCCGTACCGCTAAGCGAGATGATTGAAGACATTTCAACGGGTGTAAAGCACAAGAATCCTCAAGTACGCGGTGGCTCTGTCAAAGTGCTGTCGCGACGGTTGAAAGAAACACGTGTGGCGCCCGTCAAACCCGAATACAAGGCATTTGCAGAGCTGATGCTCAAAACACTCGACGATGCAGATGGCGGGGCCCGTGAAGCCGGTGCAGAGGGTCTTGGTACATTGATGAAAGTCATTGGCGAAAAGGCATTACTGCCTTGGACAGAAGGTCTTGACGATATCAAAATGGGCAAGATCAAGGAGGCATTTGAGAAGGCCGAAGTAAAAGCAAAACCTGTCGTTGCAAAGAAACCTCCACCGCCACCCGCTAAAAAGGTAAAGTGGTAATGGAAAAAAAAAACAGGAGAGGATGGGGCCCCCCGCTCAAGGGTTATTGTAGAAAGGCATACACTAGGTGAATGTGTGTTTTCTTACTTTTCCATATGGATATTCTTCCCCTACCTTCCCTCTTGAAGGCCCCTGCAGCCAAACCACCTGTCAAAAAACCCGCAGCAAAACCAGAACCCATGGCACTCGACGACGACGACGACGACGACGGTATGAATGCAGCACCAGCGATCAGTCCGCCCAAACGAAAACCACCGTCGCGACTTGCAGGTGGAAGCTCGGCCAAAAAACCGACCCTTTCCTCAACAAAACCAAAACCGAAAGCACCTACAGCAGCAGCAGCAGCACCCAAGAAAGCCGCCAAATTACCACCTTCAAGCGGACCGGAAGAAACAGTAAAATACAGGTTTACCCCTGAAGATGCCGAGGCACGGACAACTGAGTTTGTTCCGGCCAAGATCTGGGAAGAACTTCAACAAAGTCAATGGAAAATCAGATTGGCAGCCATGGAATCGCTTTACAGTCATTTCGATCAGATGGGCGACGACGACACGATCGAGACCGAGCCAGAAATCGTGTTTCGTGTGTTTTCCAAGAAGCCTGGATGGAAGGAAATGAACTTTCAAGTGATGGGAAAACTCTTTGCGACGATGCAGCTGTTGGCTGAAAGATGCCCGAACTTTACAAAAGCATGCGTTGCTATCGCTATACAAGGTACTCACTTTATTCCCCCGGGGGGTTTTGCCATGCGGGTTAGACCTTTGTTTTTTTTTATATACTCATGCTATTGTTTTTTTTGTGTGTCTAGTGCTCGTTGAAAAGCTCGGTGATATCAAATTGAAGAAACCAGCAGGCGAGTGTTTGGTTGTATTTGCCGAAAAGACATCTCTCCAGTTTGTCTTTTCACAATCGTACCCTATCTGGAAGAAGGCCAAGTCACCCAAGGTGCTCGCCGATTCATTGACATGGATCCATGGAGCCGTCATGGACTTTGGTATTGCAGGCTTACAGGTGCGGGATCTGATCGAGTTTCTCAAGTTTGCTCTTGGCAACACCAACGCAGCTGTACGTACCAGTGCGGTCACTGTTCTGGGTGCTTTGCGTCTCTACATTGGACCAGGTAAATGATTGTTCCCGACCTGGTGGTTTGTGGCGATAGAGAGAGAGAGAGAAACGAGTTGCTAAAAGGATTTGTCTATTAGAGGTCAAGTCGTTTGTGCAGGACGTTACACCAGCTTTAATGGCAAACATTGAAGCAGAATTTGACAGGGTTGCACAAATGGAACCACCCAAGCCGACCAAAACAACGGTAAGAGAGAGAGAGAAAGAGGGAAGAACCTGCTTTTGGATAAGTTCTCGAACATTCCGACTAAAGCTGTCACTATTTTACCACAGGCTGACACAAGTCAAGCGGCTGGAGGCAGGGGCGGAGGCGGAGGCGGAAACGCTGCTGCAGATGCTGTCGAATCTCTGTTCCCACGTGTTGACATTTCATCTGCACTGAATAAAGCCTCGAGTGAATGCAGCGATGCCAACTGGAAGGTTCGTAAAGAAGGTCTTGAAAAGGTGCTTGGTATTATTCAAGGCGCCAACAAACGCATCAAACCCAACCTGGGTGAATTCCCGGGTGTTTTGAAGCAACGACTCAATGACAGCAACAAGAACTTACAAATCATGGCACTCGAGATCGCCGGTCTTTTGGCTGAATCAGCCGGCAAACCGTTCGAAAAGTATCTCAAAGCATTGACAGGTCCTGTCGCAGCGTCGCTATCCGACAATAAGGCCAACGTGCGTGCTGCCGGTATCGCTGCCTTGGATCAGTTCCGCAAGGCTTGCAGTCTGGAAGGCATGGTTGGATCATTTGCAGCGAGCTTGGCAGCCGATTCCCCATCACTACGAAAAGAATTGCTTGCTTGGCTGGCTATTCAATTGAAAGAAGACGAAAATGCACCATCGTACGACCTTGCATCCATCATTGCACCTTTATTGTCGAGTCTGCAGGATCGAAATGGCGATGTTCGAAAATCCGCTCAGGCATGTTTACCCATAGTTATCGCTAGTGCTGGCTATGACGCTGTCGTCCACAAGGCTGCTGATTTGAAGGGCGCTCAACGGCAAGCGATCATGCCACTGATTGAAGCGAATCGGGGGGCCGCATCTGCTGCTGCTGCTACTACGGTGGCTCCAAGTTCAGCACCGGTTCAAGCTAAGCGTATGTCGGCAGCACCATCGAAAGCCGCAGCTGCTGAACCAGCAGAAGACCATCTACCCAAAGCAAGTTCAGTCGGACGATCACGAATTCTATCAAAACGTAAGCCAGGATTGCAAGCACCACGGGCATCGGGTATAGCCCCACCGTCTAGTAGTGCTGCTGCTGCTCCAGCCTCCGCTGCTGCTGCTGCCGCTGCCGATGCTGGTGGCCAGGCACCTGTATTGACTAGCGATGCTCGCGCAAAACTAGTGCGTGCCAAGAAGGAGATTCGATGGCAATTCGACGTCCCACGACCTGATGTCATTGACGGCTTGAAAGCCATATGCGAGCCCAACATGAGCGCAGAAGTGCGTGCTTTACTGTTCAGCACCAGCCAATACGCCGAACGCGACCGACTTAACGGACTCACGCTTTTGAACGACTGTTTGGCCAACCCTGAAGTCGCCTCTGATAGATACGGTGTCGATTTTTCAGATGTCAAACAGCGATACATTGCCAATGCTGATCTCATTCTCAAATACTTGACGATCCGCTTCTTCGATACCAACACAAGCATGCTCATCAAGTGTTTGGACGTTACGCAAAATCTTGTTGCGGTCATGGACGAAGAAGGTTATCATTTGACAGAATATGAAGCCGTTTCGTTCTTGCCGTTCTTGATCAACAAGGTGGGCGATCCCAAGGAAGTCATGCGTACGCGTATCCGCACTATCCTCAAGTCCGTCTGTCGTATCTATCCGGCCAGCAAACTATTCAATTATCTCCTGGATTCGGCAGCAACCTCCAAGAACGCCAAAGCACGGGCTGAATGTTTGGAAGAAGTCGGTGCGTTGATTCAGCGAAATGGTATCTCGGTCATGCTTCCCAACAAATCGCTTCCATTGATTGCTACGCACATTGGTGATCGTGACGCTGGCGTACGCAACGCTGCGTTGAGCGCGATTGCTCAGGCCTACATTCTCACAGGCGATGCTGTGTTCAAGTATGTCAGTCGTCTTGGTGAAAAGGAAAAAGGAATGCTGGAAGAACGTTTGAAACGCACAAAGCCATCAGCAAGCGTCCTGGCAGAAAAGGAAGCGCGCGAAAAGCAAGAGGCTCAGGAGATGGAGATTGACGAATTCCCTACGGTCAGCCAACTTCCTCGTCTTCCACGGCCTGGACATGGTAAACAACGTTCTGGTATTGCTCAGCCGTCACCGCCACCACCGCAACAGCAACAGCAACGTATGTATGACGCTGAACCTATGGAGGATGTGACCGACGATTATGGCAATCAATTCAACGATGGCGGTGCTGCGGGTATGGCAGGTATTAGCGAGCCAAGAACATTGCCGGGACCGTCATCGATGCGCCAGCCTCGTTCAGCAACACACCAGGCGTTCCAAAAGGCTGTTCAGCAAGATCGCGGTGACTATATTGTTGACTATTTGATTTCCCAGATCACCAGCGGTGATCCTCAGCCTAGCATCGAGGCATTGAAGCAACTGGACAAACTGTTGAACTCCAAGTCTGAATTGATATTGCCTGACATTGAGCCGCTTATCAATGCCATCACGCTGCAAGTACGCCTTGCCTACTCGAATGTGGATCCACGGGTGCCAGCCATGACACGTTTATGCAAACATCTCGTCAACGCACTCGTCCTTTTGTTTTCCAACCGGGACTTGGCATGCGCGGTATCGCAAGACGCTCTACACCATTTGTTGGAGGAGCTGGCCCATCGCTTGCTTGATCAGAAAATGCTTTCCATGGAATCTGGACCGCAACTATCCAAAGCCTTGAATGTTGCTATGGTGAAAGTTCTTGAAAATAGTCATCGAAACGCGACGTTTAGGTAAAAACCATTTCATGTTTTTTTTAAATAGGTATTTTGGTTACTTAAATGTTTTGTCTCTGTTACAGTGCGTTGCTGTCCATCTTGGGCTCTTGTGCAGCCAGTCTTCGTCCTGGAGACGATCCAGGCGCCAAAGAAACGCGTTACACTGAGTTGACGATGAAATGCTTGTGGAAGCTGGCAAAGACGGTTCAGGAAAATCTGCGCGCACGCGTATTGAATCCTGATGAGTTACTGTACGAAATCAACAAGTTTTTCATCACGACACCGCCAGCCGAATGGAAACGCCGTGCAGCCGAGAATGTTCCCTTGGGCGAGATGCCACTTCGAACGGTCAAGACGTTGCTTTTGGAACTCGTCAATGGCTTGGGCGATTCAATTTTCCAACACCTGAGTCTGATCGACAATCCACCAGCAAGCAGTGTGTATCCGTATTTACATCACATGTTGGAAGCGTGTCGAAAGCGTGAACGATTGCAACAGACACGACTACAACAACAACAACAGACACCACCACCGCCGCAGCCACAATCCCCAATTGCTATGCAACATCAAAAACAACCCGGAGTCGAAAGTCAGTATCAGCAGCAACAGCAACAGCAACAGCAGCAACAGCAACAGCAGCAAAGATACTCAGCACAATCGTTCAATTCATCCCTGAGCCGTCCATCTTCCATATCTTCACTCCAATCCAATGGCATGTTACGATCAACGTCAATGGCTTCCTATCCTTCAGGAGAAACTGACGTACCCATGGACACTACGATACCCGTTGCTGCGCCGATGCGCAACAACAATAATAATACATCTAATCATCATCCTAATAATAACAGCAATCACATTAATAATAATGTCCAACCGATGCAAATCGATGAAGACCAACAGCAACAACACGACGATCCCAACAAGCCACTTTCCGACTACGAAATGAACAATCTCTTGACACAAATCTTTGTCAAGATTGGCACGCGCGAGCAAACCAAACAGGGCATCATTGAACTGTACGAGTTTCAAAAGAAATACCCGCTTGCCGAAGCCAAGGTGAATACGTATCTCTGTCAATCCGGTACATATTTCCAGAGTTACATTCGTCGCGGTCTGAGCAATCTGGCTGCTGAAGATAATGAACTTCGCTCAAGCCAAACCGCATCATCATCATCCCCTGTTGCTGTTGCTGCTGCTGCTGGTGGTGGTATGACAGCGACAGCGACAACGACGCCACCCATTTCTTCCACAGCATCAGCAACAAGCCCTCCTTTGGCTTCAGCTACTATTACACCTACACCAGTATCTGCCACCCACACAGGTAGTAGTACAGCAGAATATGGTAGCCATCATTCGTCACCACGGAATTCATCAACACCCCAGATATCGTCGCCAGTCCTCCAAGAACAAAAGCAATCGTTCGACTTACATCGCACATCATCCATGTCGGGTGTTCGCTCTAGCATGCATGCAGGTAAAGAGAGCATTTTCTTTATGTGTTTTCTTTTGAATCTAAGTTGGATGACATATATAAATAACTGTTTCGTTGATTTCCATCAATAGATGATGCCACAGAAATCAAGCAGAGATTACAGCGGTTAAAACAAAAGTTTGGTGGAAAAACTTCACAACAGCAGCAACATTATTAATACTTTTCCTTTTTTTTTCTCTCTTCTTCGTATGATTGCATACACACTCTATAAATACACATATCATTCTATATACATGTCTGTAGAAACTTTTACGCAACTGTTTACAACTTTTGGAGATATATGAAGTCTATAACTTCTCGAGTAAATGACACATGCGGGAAGAAATGGGATGCTTTATACTTTGTTACTCTAGCCAGAATAATTCACCGGTTAGGCCTGTTAATACTGGTTCTGGTTACTTTAGAGCAGAGCAATCCATGATACTGCTTGAGTTACTGTTCAGCAATGCGAAAAGTGCATATGGATGGGAAATAGGATCATCATTAGGCAAAACGCAATTAATCTGCAACCCAAACAATATTCGGGAAACAGACGTAAGAACAAAAAGTAATCACGGGTCCGCAGGAAAAATCGAGTTACTTTTCCTCCATCCTTTTCTCTTTTTTTCCTCACCATCCAAAAAAAAAAAAAGTAAAACTACTGTATGCTACAAACTACGTGTGCTCGCAGCACACCAAGGACAATGCTGTCAACAAGACATAAAAAGCTGAGCGAGCTCAACAAACAGGCGCTTCAATGCGAGACAAACAAAGACTATGTCCAAGCTCTGCAATACGCCAAAGAGATGATCGTCGTCGACAATCGATGCCGCGTTGGTCACTTTCGAAAAGCTTCAGCATACATTGGCCTTGATCAATGCGAGAAAGCCATCGCCATCTGTGACGATGTCCACACGAGCGCAATCAACAACAAGGACTTTGTCAAGCTAAAAAAGTTGGCATTGAAGCATATGGCACGCTATGGCAGAAACCCCAAAGTCGACTTTGTCAAAATGCTCCCACAAAAACTAGTATACAAGGTGTTCTGCTACATTGATGATTATCGCGATTTCGCGACTTGCACTCATGTCAGTCGTGTTTGGCACCAGACGCTCATGACCGACATGCATGCGACCAATATTTGGTCGAAGCGTTCCACTGTGTTCTTTAAGGCTTATCCATTGAAATGGCTGACGTCAGAAGAGCATTGTGCCTTAGCCCAGGCATTGCGTGGTGAACAAGATTGTCCTTTTTCATTTGTCGCTTATACCTTCGAGCGTGCCCAAGCAATCGGCGGTATGGGTAATTGTGGTCTTCAATCGGTGGGTACGTAGTATATATTCAGTGATCTGTTGCGTGTCAGTATGTAGTCATTAGTATCATCATTATTATAAGCATTTGCCTGCCGTACGAGGTTGTCGATAGCTTAAACGTCCAAACGGTTAACCATCAAGTATATTATTGTGTGTCTATGCTTTATATAATCAGATCTTAGTGGCTTTCCGTACCATGGCCAAAGCGTCATCGAAGCAAATGCAAGCACGCTACGTGAAGTGACACTTTCTATCCCATCCTCACGCAGCTTGACCGCCCTTTTACCAGCGATGGCCCGATCAACAATCTCGAGATTGAGCTTTACATCCCCCTTTTATGCTTCGATGCCACCAACCAGCATATCTTTTTTCCATGAAAGAAAGAATCAACTACCCTCATTGACGCACGTTACTGTCAATGGGTTCAAGCTGGATTGGTATTTCTACGATGCTATCAGCGACGAGAACGACTCACGAATCGCATTCGTCAAGTTCTTCCTGTTCCAGTGTCCTAATCTTCAGGTGCTTGCTATTTATCCTGCCGTAAATGCAACCACAACGGATGCGCAAGAGAATCTGCCAAAGGATATCAAAACAACGATGCCCCAATCGCTGCACACCCTTATTTTTTAAATAAAACAAGTGCTCTTATACTCTACCAATCTACTGTAGCAGCATAAAATGTATACAATTGCCACTAAGTAATAGTATATCCAATTTGGTCTTTTGATTACACTGAAAACCTCATGCAAGAAAAGTGGAGTATGAAAACGGCCATTGCTGCATAATGGTCACATGTACGTACGTCGCGTATATGACAAGGCATTGTTGTGGGAAGACGGAAGCACACTCCATCATGGTTCTGAATCATACAGTTTCCGCAAAATGTATGTTCAGCTGCTACCTCTGCTGTTGCCGATGCCTGCTTATTGTTGTGATGCAGTTATTATACACAAAGAAAGAGACAATCAATACATGTGTTAATTTACTTCTCGAAGCAGCAAAAAATGACATTGTGCACTTGCCACCACAAGGAGTGTTTTATAATAAACCAAATCCTCTTCATTGCTTCAAAAGGCAAGTACCAGGTGAAGAAGAGGGGCAACGAGCGGAAGAATGCCAAAAACTTCTCATTTTGGAACGGTCACAGCATAAATGAGCTTTATAACAGTTTCACGCATGAGAAAAATAAACATTATAAAGAGGTCTGTTCAAAACCAACAGCGTGGAGAGTAACCTCTACATCCCCATCGAACAACAACAGCATCAGCTTTACTACAGTATTGCAACCATCCTCGCCGTGGTCGCTATTCGCCCTTTGGGATCGCCTCGTCGAATGGTTACTACCACTCCCACCCAGCCTCTTCTCCAACTTTACAATGAGGACAGAACGCCAGATGCAGGAACTTGAACACCAGTTTTCCAACTTATTCATCACCCTGACTTATTATATCATTCTGTATATCCTCTTTCTCGCCGTGTTCAAAGTCTCCACTTTTGTTTTCGCTTTATTGGCTAATCAATTACAGCAGAAACGATAAAAGCAACAATGTCATCATTCGTTCCGCCGCGGGGGGGGGGGTTCCAGAGGTCAATGATGGCTGTTCGTTTGCCGGGCGTGGACAGCACCGGAAGCATTAAATGGAGTGAAAGCATTACCACGAGTAGGACCAAGCCAAGCGTTGCAGACATGGAAAGAGATACCCTCAAGCTATTTGAATACAAAAAAAAAGGTTGGTGTTGTGAGAATATAAAGTTTGCAGGGTCCATACGTAGTCATTTAGACTTTTACCTGATAGGCGTGATTGTGCAGCTCAGCTGTGACTCGGAAGGCAACACGTTGGTCAAAGAATTCAACTTCGAACGTGCGCCGACTACCGGAGAATCCCATCTCAATCATACTTCTTGTAGCTCCCCAAGTATCGAAAACTTCCTGTGTAAGACAATTACAAGGTGTAGTTGCATTAGCTTCTACTAGACTAATGTAACGTAGCATATGAATAGAAAGAAGAGAGAACCGTTTGTTTGTCTTTTTCACCTTGTAATTGAATTCCACCAAGCGATCATGAGCACCGCAGAGAGTTACAATCACCGTTCTAGCGGATCGGCTGTCTTGAGGTGGGGTGTTGGACAGCGTAGCCAATTGAACATCGGATATATATGTCGCTCTAACTCTTTCTTGATACTCGGATGAATTGATCGATTCAAGTGCAACTGCTGCTTCTCTTAAATCATAGAATGTCACCATCAATATGCCTGGGCCTAGCAGCAAGTCTGGATACGTTGTTTTGATGCGACCTGAAGACTTTATAGAAACAAGAGTAGTTAGTCTCTCTCATACTCTTTTTCTCTCTCTCTTTCGCAGGGTAAACCACATGTTTTCTTCTCTTCTGTGGGGTGGAGGTGAGATGGGAACAGTGGTGACGATAATTAGATAGCAGAAAAAGAAAGTATTCCCTACTCGAAGAAGACGCAACACGGCTTGCACGTTTTCGATGCTTAGATTGCCAACGCATATATGATGGGTTGCTTGATGATCTGCATAATACGCGTGAGCTTATTACTGCTGCCACAGCCCTTTTGCGCCTAATTATTTATGGAAAGAAAATGGGAAAGGATAGAAGTGCGGGGGGCTGAGAAAAATCACTTTGATTTGTTCTTACCTGTGCCTGGAGGAGCCACAGTGGTAGAGCCCTCAACATCTAGCATTGACGATTGCGATGAGGATGATTCGGGAGGCACCAAGGACAAGGATGGCATGGCGCTCTCTGTAAAAGCTACTACTTGTTGTGACGGCTGCGTTTGGTGTACTTGCGTGTGATGATAGTGTTGCTGGTGCTGGTGCTCTTGTTTAGCCTGGTTCTCCAGAGTAATTACAGAAACGAAAAAGACGTTCAAGTACGGTAGAAAAACAAAAAGAAGTGAGTGAGTGAGTATGTGTGTTCAGTGCGCAGCAGAGTCAGGCAATATAATAGTCAGAGAAGGAGCAGTAGGAGGGCTGCTTGATGACGAGGTCTGTGCTGTACTAGCTGTAGTGTGCTTTAAGAAGGCGTAGATGTCTTACCTCAAAGTACAGAACTGATAAAAAAAAAGGGAAGTTGTGGAAAGAGAGGGTGTGAAAAGGGAAGAAGAGGAGCAAGTTGGATAAAAAAAAGAAAGAGGAGACCGCTCAAACCCTTTTGGATTTCGTCACTTTTTTTTTTGCGCTTTTTGCTTTCTCTTGACCTTTCCTTTGACTTTATGCGTTTGTTCTGTCCCTCTTCTGTTGATGTAATCAGTCATAAAGAGATAGTCAACAATTTTGTTCTTCCTTCGTCTAATGGTAGTAGAAATGCACAACGTACCACAACAAATGGTACACCAATACGATGAATAAATGTTCTGATATGCTTTGGCAACGAGATCATACGAAGCATAAGCATCTTCTACTTATGCATCGAATGTATACAGATCCTTCATGACAAATTCACGGCCCCGCAAGAGGCCAGCTCTTGGTCTAGCTTCATCACGGTATTTCCGGCCGATTTGATAAAGTCGTATAGGTAGTTGCTTGGCTGATTTGAGTTCTGATGCAACAAGTTGTGTGATTTCTTCTTCATGTGTTGGCGACAATAACATGTCGGTATCTCATCGATCTTTTAACCGAAAGAACTGAACAATGTGGGGACAAAGAGTACACATGGGCATGTTGATGTAACCTTGTTGACGTTTCTCCCTCCTAATGACTTAATGCTACATGAATATATG